ATGCGCTCGTGCATTGATTCCATGACATATGGGGCTTGAATGTGGTCTCTGCACTTTCCTGCTTCCGTTTTAAGATGTAATTACTGCTGAGAGAACCAGCAGCATCAATCATTCTTCAGCAAGTGCAGGTCACAGCTTGTCTATCATCTACTGCTATGTACAAGGCACTGTGGGGGACACGGGTGGCGCTGTGGGTTAAACCACAGAGCCTAGGGCTTGCCGATCAGAAGGTCGGCAGTTCGAATCCCCGTGACGGGGTGAGCTCCCGTTGCTCAGTCTCTGCTCCTGCCAACCTAGCAGTCCGAAAGCACGAAGTGCAAGTAGATAAATAGGTACCGCTTTGGTGGGAAGGTAAACGGCATTTCCGTGCACTGTTCTGGTTTGCCAGAAGTGGCTTTGTCATGCTGGCCACATGACCCAGAAGCTGTACGCCGGCTCCCTTGGCCAATAAAGCGAGATGAGCGCCGCAAGCCCAGAGTCGTCCACGACTGGACCTAATGGTCAGGGGTCCCTTTACCTTTACCTTTACCAGGCACTGTGAGTTGCATAATATGTCTTCCAGCAATTAAAACTGAATTGTGGCAATGTACAGAGCATTCATAGCTCTCTTCTCTTTTAGACACACTTAAAGCAGGAGGCTTGAATCTTTACCTACCATCTCCCATGGGCTTAGAAAACTTTGATAGCAGTGTTTATTTTTCCTAATGTGATTATAGGATGCAAGCACTTTGGGAAATCTGCTTTTTTTTTCATTTCACATTCTCCTTCCCCCCATCCTCTCCCCCTAGATTTGTTTCCCTCTACAATTTCACTTGTTTTAAAAACATACTACTGTATGCTATTTTGAAATAAAGTGCAAATTCAAAATACATTTATTTTGAAATAAATACAAGCAACAAAAAGGAAGAATGTCACAAAACAATTGCTGCTGCTGTGCAACACTAATAAAGCATCCAAATTTTTCTATCTCACAGGCTCACAATCTAATAGACATAACACAAAAGGAAAAGGAACTGGGTGGGAGGATGAAAGCAAGCATTGGAGCAGCTGGATTGGGTAAGACTGGTTTTCTTCCTTGTACGCAGGGGGTCGGCCTCCCAGTGGCCCTTGGTGTCCTGGCAGATGACAGAAGCAGAACCAAAGGGAGGCATACTCTATCTGACTCAATAATAAACACAATACAAGCTAAAGCAACATGGCAAGACGATTAATTAAATGAAGGTGGGAAAGGAAACTCACTGATGCAGTCCTTGATATATGATGCATAAACCTATGGGGGCATTTAGTGTAAAGCTGCCTAGCTATTGATAATGTTTGGATGTGTAAGTTATATAGGCAAGTTGCAGTCGGGGTAAAAAAATGTCATTAGCAGAGACCATCTGTATAAGGTTTGAGAGTAAGGTTTGAGTGAAGTAAGGATTTTAATAAATATTTGCCTATTTTAGAAGAAATCGAAGAAACCTTACCAAGATGTGGAATAATCATTTTATGGCATTCTATGTATGAAGTAATAACAGGGTTAATTGGATTGCTATTTGTGGCTGACAGCTCACCATGAGGACCTGGGTCTTCTCCAGAATTTCCTTTGGAAGGCAAAACACGTCACATCCAAAGTGGATGGTCGACCTCTTTTGATTCAATTGAGTCCATGATTCAGTTTCTTTCTGTATTTTTCTGTATTTATTTGGTTCTTTTAGGACATTTCTTCATTGCATTAGCCACTCTGAAATCCTTCTCCAGCATAAGATCAACATCTTAGGCTAGAATTTAAACTTTGGGAGTGGGTGGGAGGGGAGGTAGTGGAGAATCTTTAATTTATGAAACTGAAGAAGTAGACTTATCTAAACATCTCTAGGGCTTTAATAGGGGATATCTATAATTCTCTGAATTGTATTCCTTTCACAGTGATATTTTGTAATTCCATTCTATTACCCTTGCTTAACATTAATGAGATAAAAAGATCACATTATGGCGATTGATGTTCTTCAAATTAAATGCACGTTTCCATGTACAAAGCTGCCTGCTAATTTAAAAAACATAGCATGTAACATAGACTCATGACCACGGTCATCACTCAGCTGGGATCAGATAGCATTTTTTATCTATTCATTGGATTTAACAAGGCGTGAGATGGAGGCAGAATACAAAGTGTGGCCAGATTATCCCACATCCCCCCTTTTGGCCACTCCTTGGCACTCTCAACAAGGAAACTGAGGCTTCACGTTGCCATGGCAATAAACCTCAAGGTCAAAGGGGCATATGGAAGGTCAGGCAATGACAAAGGAACATCTGAGAGGCCATCTGGATGAGTGACCTGACATAATTAGTCATTAATCCCACTCTTGGGAACAATAGAGTTTGCCGGGAATGTGTTTGGACTTTGATCGTGGTCAGGGTGATCTCAGGGGGGAAGGGGGAAGAAAGCTCTGCTCGGTAACTAAGCAGATTACACTGGCATTCTGCTAACAAAAAGAAGAGCCCAGCAGAAGCGCCAGTGAGATATGCATTTTACATGTGCTATATTTTCCCTTCAGTTCCTACAAGGCCTCTCTCTAGAGCCATGTGTCTCTTGGATTAGTTTAAGGATAGATTTCCCCCCCCCCTTTTTTTTTTACAGTGTTCAATGAAAAGAGAGCAATAGTTTACTTAAAATTCTCAGGCAACAGATGGGAAGAGAACCAAAGAGCCAAAACCAAGCCAGGCAGCTTGGTTTACAGGTGTCAATATTTACTAAGCAGACTTTGCCAGGATCCCTTTTGGGGGAGAAAAGGAGAGAATAGTTAATCAGTAAAACAATAGCAATCAGTCCTGTTGTCTGTTTTAAACCAAACGGTTAGAATTAAAAGATGACTGAGTGGATGGCAAGAGCCAGCCGTCAGCATCTGTCTTTTCCTCCCTCTCTCATCTGCCACCCCCCTCCGCCCTCTGCCCCATCCTCCTTCCCTTTCATTCCCCCTCCCTTTGCATGTCATGTTTTATTATGCAGACCTAGGCTTTGATCAGAAGATAACCTTCACGTGTAGCCAGGGTTTCTTCTGCGGGAAAAGTTGGTGATGTGTCGTGATGGATCACCTACATTTTTGTAGGATGTGAACATGATAATGGACTGTGTTAAATTTATAGGCGCTGCTTAGGCCTCCTGAAATAATTTCTCCCCCTTGGAACAAATGATTATTTTCATTGTGTCAACAAGGGTAGTCTGAGGAAGCAATATAAATTTAACAGGGGAAGGGATTGCAATGTAAGAGAGACAATGCATTTCTCTAAGAATATACAGTGTGGCTTATTATTTTTTAAATTTCAGAAGTTTTTTTAAAAAGCACTTTCACTTCAACCAACATATCTAAATCGATTTATTTATCAGTAACGTAATTTAATATAATAATATAATATTTATTTATGAGTTGGGGGCAGGTGGAGAGATATTACATTCATACCTTTTTCTGCAATAGAGACCAAAAGCCAGAACAGCTGGAGACTGAGGCAGGGTGACAGGTTCCCTCCATCCCACAAGGGCAGGTCCACATTCATTTGTACGGGATAAAATGGAATGGGTTTATTATTGTTATGGTTGTTGTCATTATCACCACCGTCTCATCATCACACTATCCATACTACTGTTGTAAGAAAAACACTGGGGCCTAATTTGAATAGTAGAGTGCTTGGTATCTGGTGGGTGGGGCTTGTGTGTTTTGCTCCGGAATCAGCCCCTCCCTTCAGTGTGTTTTCCGTTAAGGATGTCATTTAAGAGGGATCAACTGGCTCTTCTTGTTACTTGCCTCAGACTTGCCTCATGTTGTTGTATTTAGTTTCTCTCAGTCATTATGTTATTTTGTTACAGTTTTCTTTATTATTAAAGCTTAGTTTGCATTTACGTGAGTCACTTATTTTTCTCAAAGAGAAAGAAATTCTGCTGAAAAATGGTAGAATGTTCTAAACTTGGGTGAGTGAGGGCAATGCTTTTTTTCTAGGGGGAAGCATGCCCCTAAACATTTTGTAAATCTAAGTTTGGCCTCAATGAGGGGCAGTATTTCAATGAGTAGGAAAATGAGAGTACCCCATACATTTTTTAGAAAAAAGCACTGAGGGGATATTCCCAGTTTGCCAAGACGATTGATTTTGTTAATCACCACCCACACCTTCACAACAATTGTTCCATTCATTTGTTCAATAGCAAAACAGAACAACAAAAACAGGTCACTTTTCTAAAATACTTACAACTCTGACACACAAGGAAGCAAGTAAAGTAGGAGAGGAAGAATGAGTTGAATGTATACATCATGGGTAGGCAAACTAAGGGGACCGGTTCTGGCCCAATCACCTTCTAAATCCGGCCCGCAGATGGTCCATTCTACTCATGCTTTTACATGAGTAGAATGTGTCCTTTTATTTTAAATGCATCTCTGGGTTATTTGTGGGGCATTGGAATTCATTCATTTGCCCCCCAAAAAATATAGTCTGGCCCCCCACAAGGTCTGAGGGACAGTGGACCGGCCCCCTGCTGAAAAAGTTTGCTGACCCCTGGTATACATGCTGCTCATGTGTAGCACACTAAGCCTCCCCCCTTTAGGCCACTCTCCTTGCCACCCTCCACAAGTTGGAAAGCCAAGCTTGAAGAGGGGTACCTCCTCTACTCAATGGAGAACCATTTAAAGTCCTGCAAAATTGGGCTCTTAAACCCATGGGGAAGCCTTCACAAGCATGATGAAGCTCGTCACTTCAGACTTCACCCTAAACCCCTGAAGGGAGAGCAGGGTGGAACACACACATCCCTACTGACATCTAGGATTTACATTTAAGCTGCACACCGAAATAGGGCTTATGATGAGCTTGAAAGATACACTTACATTGCTGAGCCCACCTCATAAGACCATATTTTCTTATAGAATCTTTACTGCATATACAGAGTCTACCCAGCCTGGTGCTATCTACTGCCAAGGGGTACAGTTTTTCAAGGTCTCACATGGCGATTTTTCCAAGTTCTGCTCCCAGATTTTAGCTGGATATACCAGGGATTGAACCTGAGACCTTCTGAATGCAGAGCATGGGCTCTGTCACTAAGCTATGCACCCCCACACACACCCATCCCTGAGCAGAGAAGGCTAATTTAAAAAAACCTCGAACGAGTCTTGGTCTATGCCTTCATTATGGAGGGTGAACTTTACTGCAAATGTTAAGAGGAAATATAATTAATTTGCAAACATTATTTTTGGAAAACTAAATGTCATTTCACTATAACAAATATTTTTTCTAAAGGTAACTTAGCTCCCAAAAGTGAATAAAAAAGGAAATAAATAGAGAATAGTAAAATGCTATGCAAACAGAACACTTCCTAGTGATGTGTAATAGCTTTTTTAAAAAGTCAAACCATTTTTAAACTCTCAAAAGAAATCTAAATAAAGATTATTATTTCTATAATTTTGTGTGATTATCAGCAGGCAGTACTAGAAAGCTGGAATTGTCCTCATTCTTTCTCACAAGTGGAAGCCCTATAGTATTATTTTAACAGGAAGCTACAAAGTTTGCATTCAATCTCTACTTTTTCAGAAAGTATTGGAATGGATTTTACTCGATTAAATTCGAATGTACCACGAAGATCACAGCCTTCTGTCAGCATAAGGATTTCTCCTTACAATGTGGAATGTTCTCTCCTCCCTAAATCTGTTCTAGGGGTTCCTCCTACCTTCTGGAACAGATTTGGAAAGCTATGGGACAGGTGCAATGGGGGAAAAGAGTGGGGAAATTATGAGATTATGTATCCTGTGTTTTTATATTGTGATTTTATCCTGTGAACCGCCCTGAGACCTGCAGGTGCAGGGCAGTATAGAAATTTGATAAATAATAATAAACAATAACGGGGACGCGGGTGGCGCTGTGGGTAAAACCACAGAGCCTAGGACTTGCTAATCGCATGGTCGGCGGTTCGAATCCCCGCGGCGGGGTGAGCTCCCGTCTTTCGGTTCCAGCTCCTGCCCACCTAGCAGTTCGAAAGCACCCCTAAGTGCAAGTAGATAAATAGGTACCGCTTTATAGCGGGAAGGTAAACGGCGTTTCCGTGTGCTGCACTGGTGCTGGCTCGCCAGTTGCAGCTTCGTCACGCTGGCCACGTGACCCGGAAGTGTCTCCGGACAGCGCTGGCTCCCGGCCTCTTAAGTGAGATGAGCGCACAACCCCAGAGTCGGACACGACTGGCCCGTACGGGCAGGGGTACCTTTACCTTTAATAAACAATAAAATTAATAATACTGCACAAGTAGTATCTATTGCACTTGTGCAATCATTTAGTTGAATATTGCCCATTATTTCTGGTTCGTTTGAGAAGCATGAATATACATTGCCAGCGGTATTCCTTTATACTAGTGATGCTACCCAAACTCAAAGTTGTTCAGTTTTCAAAACAAATTGAGCAAGATTGTCATACTTGAATTAATAACAAGCCCAGACTTTGATTCAAGGGACTTTAATATTTTTGTAATTCATACCAAAATTGATAACAAGCTATTTCCTGTGCCTACCTGGTCTGCTCAGTTGACAGGAATAAGTGACAAAACTATGCCATCTTGGTGCACACTCAGTTCTTTGCTGAGGGAAATGTAAATGTCCCATTTGCAATACATTTATTCAGTGCTTTTTTCTGGGGGGATGCAGGCGGACACATAGCCCTAAATGTTTTGTGAATCTTTGTACTTTTGTTCATTTACTGTATTTATTTTCCCCGATTTGAACTATAAAATGGTGGTTTTCTTGAGTCAAAATGAGAGAACCCCTAAACATTTTTTAAGAAAAAAAGCACTGCGTTTATTTATTTTTGTTCAAAAGTATTTCTCAACTCCTTAACATTTTACAGTTTTTTTAGGTGGTGCACAAACAATAAAAATCAACATAAAATAGCAAAACAATATAATAATACTACAGGTAAAAACAGGAACTCAGCAATGTAGGCTCTAATCTTATGGATCAGATAAAGTCTGAGCAAAAGTGTGCAAGACATCCAAAGCAAATAATTGATAGTGCTTCATATGTGGCAGACGGAAGAGCACTCAAAGCGCCATTTGGAATACATGTGGGATGATGTTATTTTAAGTCTTTAATTACCTTCTGCCAAATGATCTATTCTATTTAAAAGTTTTGCCAATCACATTTGAAGAAACCCAAAGTATATATGTATCCACTCATTGAGCAGTGTTTCTTTCTTATGATTAAGAATTCATTCCTGATCCAACAAGTTCTTTCTAGCATTTCTTTGGAGTATAAGACAGGAATGCCTTTTTTTAAAAGTGAAAATTAAAGTTTAAACTTGAGTATTGTGCCTACCCTTCACATTCACATTAGCCTCTGGAGGGCTCTGCGGTTAGCCTAAGTGGCAGTCAGAATGTTCAGCTGCCTACTCAAATTCTTCTGTGGAACATTTCCATGATTTTTGAGCCTTTTGCTTACTTGTCCCAAGAAAGGGGGAAAATAGGCAGGAATTTGGCATTAATTCGGTGCTGTCTACTGTGCATTGTGTCATAGTTCACGCAGTTATCTAGCACATTCTTCCATAGGTCATTGCACTAAGCATTCCTGTTCCTATTAATTATTTCCTGTTCTTAAGGAAAAGTGTAATATTGACAAAGTGCAGGCAAACTTTCACCTTTCCTTGTCAATCAATGGCCTGAAGATGGGCTGATTATCAGTGCAGGAGAATTTATAGAATGCAGAAAGCATCTTGTCAGGGAACTGCCATCGGACGGAAGGGAGGTGAAAGGGCTCACACAGGTTGGGAGAGACGCAGCAGCTGAAGAGGGAACCAGCAGGGAGGTGAAAGGGCTCACACAGGTTGGGAGAGACGCAGCAGCTGAAGAGGGAACCAGCAGGGGAGAGGAGCTGAGCTGGAGGGATGGCTCAGAGACACTTCCAGCGAAAATAGTGGGGAGGTTTCAGGACCTCCTGTAAGAACACCCACTCCTCGCCGGAAACTGTCACGCAGAGATTCCAGAAGACGTGTTTCCGTTAAGGAGCTTTTATGTTGGAAGCGATTACGAAAGCAACCACTGTCGGAATCTGCTAGTGACTAGAGGAGCCATGTCTGAGGGGCTCTGTCACAGACAGAGGTTGGTGGACTTGAACAAACTCTGAGGGGATACGATTTTACGCACAAGCAGCTCATCATCCCATCACAGCATTCCGACAGTCTTTGAAAGCAGCTTGTGCAGGAGAAGGCATCATGAGCAACCCAGCCGGAACCGGAGAAGCAGGAGCTGGAGCGGGTCCAAGCCTGGAAGAAAGGTACCGGGTGTTGGAGGTCCAGCTAGCGATGCAGACGGCGAGGCTTGAGGAGAGGAGGGCTCAGGATGCAGACAAAAGGGAAAGCCACCCAGCTCGCCAGAAAGGTACCAGGATTGGTGCAGAAGTTTGGGGGGGAGCCCAAAAACTATCATGGCTTTCGGACAGAAATGCAATATGCCCTCAATCTGCAGTTTGATGAATTCCCTGACGAGGAATCACGAGTGGCTTTCGTGATTGAGCATCTTGAAAAGGGGGCGAGAGACTGGGTTAGACCCCTGATGGCAGCAAATAGTGACGTCCTAAAGGACACGATGAAGTTCTTTCGCGCCATGGATCTGATGTTTTCCAGCGATATTGAAAAGGGAGTGGTGCGCAGACAGTTAATGGCTTGCAAACAGGGGAGCCGATCTGTCCGTGAGTACTGGACTGAGTTCACCATGCTTGTTCACAGATTGGGGTGGGACTTATCGGCGGAACCCATTCAAATGCTCTTTGAAGAAGGGCTTTCTTCGGCTGTGAAAGACGAACTTTCCCGGGCGCCCAGGGCGGAGTCTATGGACCAGCTGACCAAATCAGCGCTGGCCATAGGAGCGCGCCAGGAGGCGAGAGCATTGGAGAGGCGGGAAGGGAAAGGGGAACGTTGGAAGGAGTTCCGCATTCCAGACATTCCAGAGCCAACTTTCCCACCGGCAGAGCCGATGGAAATCGGAACAGCGCGCGCGCGCGCAGTTTCAAAGCCCAGTGAGGGGGCAAAAAAGGAGGGAAAAGGCGCCCGGAAATGCTATCTCTGCCAACAGCCAGGTCACTTTGCCAGAGTCTGCCCCCAGAGGAAAGAATGGCAAGGGATGGTAGGAGCTGTGGATGGAAGAGAGGAAGAAATACCGGAGCAAGTAAAGCCAACGCCTGGCTGCCACTGTCGGGGCACAGCAGCCAGGCCAAAGAGCAGTGAGAGTGCCCACGCCAGAACCTCCTAAACCCGCTCTAGTGATAGAAGTGACGCTAGAGCTGCCAAACGGACACCCTCTAAAGATAAAGGCGCTGTTGGACTCAGGCAGCTCCTGCAATTTCATGAGCAAAGAGTTTGCAGCTGAACACCAGATACAGACGATCCCTTTAAGCAGCCCCCTGCAGGTGACCACGATCGATGGCAGGGAGCTGTTGGGTGGAGAAGTCAGCTTGCAGACCGTCCCAATGATAATGAAGGTAGCAAGGCACACCGAACTGATAGCTTTTAATGTGGCCACCTTGGGAGGAGCTCCCATTATATTGGGGATGAGCTGGCTAGCGTTACATGATCCGCTGGTGGGCTGGCATCAGAGAGTGGTTTCTTTTGGTTCAGCACATTGCTTAGAACACTGCAAAGAGGGAAAGGGTTTGGCAGGGGTCCAAGCCACCCTAGCAGGGACTGAAGTAACAGAGAACGTGAAGGTACCACGACAATATGCAGATCTCCGTGACGTCTTCAGCGAAAGGGAAGCTGACCAACTACCCCCGCATAGACCCTTTGACTGTCAAATCAATTTACTCCCTGGAGCACAGCTCCCTGTAGGCAAGCTGTACGCCATGTCAGACAGAGAGATGCAGGAGCTAAGAGAGTTCATTGACAAGAACCTGAAGAGAGGGTTCATCAGAGAGTCCAGGGCGGTGGGGGCAGCCCAGTGTTTTTGTGGATAAGAAAAACACGAACAAGCCGAGGCTGGTGTGTGACTTCAGGGCCTTAAATGCAGTGTCAGAACCAGTAGCCTTCCCTATGCCCAGGATTGACGACATTTTGACAAGGGTGCGGAAGGGAAAGATTTTCACAA